CTACTCAGAATAGAGGAGGAACCACCACCCTCCCTTGATTAGGTTTGAAGTGGGCTAAAACGAGATTTTTGTCAATAACGGCAGAAATGAGCTCCCTTATTTGTTTTCAAGGGGGGGGGGGGGGCAATAATGTATTATTGAATAAACGAGAAATCGATGCGAAATGCTCTGACGGTAATCCAGGTGGAAGTGTTAAATTTGAAGTCTAATAAGGTGACATATATGACGAGAATTGGTCGAGAGCAGAGATTGGGGTCACCGAATTAACACATTAATACATATATTTATTTCAAATGGCAGGCGTTTTGATAGTTATCATTAGCCCTTTAGCTGACTTCGGGCTTCACCGGGGGGGAAGGAACATCAAAGTAAGAGAAAGTCGAGGGGTGGGGAGCAGAAGAGTGAATTACAGATGTAAAGAGACAGACATGAAGGCAGAGAAAAGGTAGGATGAGTACTGCGCCAGAAGTCAATCGCCAGTTAATAGACTTTTTTGCCGTATGAGTATACGTTGCCCAGGGTGCACCACGCGGAGTTAAGTCTATCACGCACCCCACACACTAATACATAAATTCCTGATGATCAAATCTCTTGATACACAAGTGGTATAACAACTACGAAGCCAAATTCTATTCCACTGTTCAAGATTACGTTTGAAGCATAGGCTTGGCAGGAGACAATGATTGATTCTTCAATAAAATAAGGAAAATCTGTTTATGACTGACTTACCTAGCTGCCCTTTCTTAACTTAATGCGAAAGAAGCACTAGGCAATTCTTGTATAATTCACACTCGATTCCAGGAATGACTGCCCATATATATTCAAAATAATGGAATGTCTTCAGCCTTTGACCACAAATCGCACACTAAAAAATTAATGAAAAATTAACTACCCTTTCAACTGGAATAACATTGCTCAATCCTGACAATTATAAATCCGTTCTGCAAAAATGAATTAGGCCGAAATAATAATGCACCTGAGTATTTCTAATTATTGCTAAGTGTCTAATACCTTATGCCTCAAATCGAAAATTCAATTTGGGAGCAATTCCATCTACCCACTCATTCCCACTGATTACGTGCTTCTACCCCAAGCCACTCTCACATCGCTTCGAGAAATAAAAATTACCATCAAGCATTTATTGGGACGTCAAGTACACAAATCTATTTGAAGAGCGATTCGAATAGAACACGAGCAGTCTTGTTACGTGCATCCCCTTTAACGTCGATATTTAGTAATGCTCTTCTAATGCCTTTTCGGCTAATATTAGTGGTGTTAAGTGAGTTGAGAGCCTTGATGTAGTCCTCATCAAATGCATTGAAGATGGAAATGAGGGCATTCGAGCGGATTAATTCTCGAATTTCGTCCAGCTTCTTCAAATTCACTTTCACCAACATATTACCAACACCTGGCACTTTTGCCTTCATGGCGTTCAACTCCTCCTTACTGAAATGCTCTTCCAGGACCAAGTTCGTTTCAGGTGTTGTCGGAGGAGGTTCCGTTGTTGTAGTCGTGGTTGTGGTTGTCGTAGTTGTGGTGGTTGTGGTGGTAGGCGGAGGGAAACAGGCTCTCATGATTGGCAACTTGTAGGCGATTATACCAGCGTACAATTGGTCAACACTGAGCAAGTATTCACACGGATAGGGAATTTTGCTGAGTACATCAGAGATGGATTCGGGAGACAATCGTGCGAGATACTTTTCAAAT